TCGCTTGTGAAAAAGAGCTACATAGCTCAGTGGGCGTTAGCTGATAAAATAAACAAAACTTGTTTAGTTTTAGCAAGGGGAGAATACCCACAGCTTACCCCACCACACGTTACCTGTCCATCAACTGTGATGCACCCATTTAAACTGCTGCGTGAGATTTAAGAAACTTGCCGCCCATTGTTTAAACTGCCTCGCCCGGAGATCGAAGCGGCGACCCTCTGCATTATAAATTCAGTGTGCTCACCATTGCACAACGGCAGCATTCCTTAGCATATAAAAAAACAAGTGAAAGTAAGCATTGAGGCAGTGCTCATCTGTTTGTAGCCCTTAACCAGTAGTGGAAATTCCACATCCCTATGGCGGGGGAGAATCTTTCCCCTGTGTTACTCACAATATTTTTTAAATTTCGTATTATTGACTCCAGACGGCCGAGAGAGACGATGGCTGAGTCATTCCCCAAGCAGGATTTGAGCTTGCAACCTTCCACTAAGCCACTTTCATATATTAGCAGATAGGTGACTTTCTATATTTGTATTCTGTGGCTGTGTGGAGCAATATACTACGGGGATTTATTGATGAGCAATGTTAAAGGCACGATCTATTCCCTTTAACAGAAACATTAAAGGTTCCCTCTTAAGTCTTAACAGCATGAGGCGGCTGTGTCCATTCATTGACTCACAAACCGTCCACGTGCAGTGCACCTTGCGTGGCACGGTCCCACACCACTGCTCGTTTCGCAAGGGAGAGGGGGCTTGAATGAGAGACATTGCTTACCTTAAACACAGCGTTACCATGCACGCCGATATAGCATCTGCTTGCGCTGATAACATTATTACTCTTTATCACGGCCGAGCGCTGATAACAAATGCAATATAGAGTGGCGAGATAAACAGAAGAGGCCGGGTTGCGGCATTAGTCCCACCCAACTCTACATAATTCGGATTTGAAAGTGCGCAATCTTAAATCTTAACGCTAAAACCTTGTCAGCTTGACTCGACACTTTCCATTCATGTAAAGCCTCTTTTGCCAATCCACTGCTAGATGACGGCCTCCTTCCAACGCCGCCGCAGGTCATGGGGGCTAATCGACCATGCTTCACCACGAAGGTCTGTGCGGGGTTGGTCAAGGTGAGGAAGAGCATAAAAGTAAACTCTCAAGACGCTAAATAAACCCTGAAACTGTTATAGGATATTGCTGAGAAGGGCACCTTTCTTTACTGGTTGATGTTACTGCTTTTATAATTTGAACTATGAACGGGTATTTATAGGGGTGGGGTGGTGTACTATGAACTATGCAACTTTCGTTTGATTCCTGTGCTGGACATTGCCCAGCACGCTGAAGTATGGTCACCCCCCCCTCCTTCCACCGGAACGAGACACTGGTGGAAGATCTTCATCCAGCAGTGGATTGACAAAGGGATGTACACACGTTATAATTATTGTTCATTTTGACTTCATATGCCCACGATTTAGCCAATCAATGAGGCTTTCAGTTTACAGATACAATGTTTGAATGGTTTCTAGCATCTCTACAAAGGTAATCTGCCACCCAACATCACAAATTACAGTCATAACTGCAATTATGTTAATAAACTACAAAGACATTCGCAAAATACACATTTGCAGATGTTCAGATGCACATGAACACATTTCAGATTATTTTGGGGCAGGCACGTGGCCACAAATGGCAAGCTTGACATCAACATTTTGTCCTAAGACCAAATCACCCAAAAGGCACACCGATTTGAGACCTGGACAGATCTCGGAAGCTAAGCAGGATTTTAACCTGTGTAGTGCTTGGATGGGTGATCGCCATGGGTAAGCGACAGGTGAAATGGACGTGGACGGCCGTGCAGCAAAAAAAAAAGACGTTTGTTATTTGCACTCCCCCACGTTGACCAATCCGCACTGACCAGCGTGGGGAAGTATCGTCAAGTATTCCTCACGACACCACAGGGGCATTGGGAGACCCTCATGGAACCAGCGATTTGGTAAAAAAAAACGAGCCCGCGTATGCACTATACCACGGAGCTGAAATCCCGCGAATATGTATTTATGTTGGCCAAATCTCACTCGCCTGCCATATGCTGAACATTGTGCAGCATCGCCAAAAAAGGCCCTCTCAGCGAGAAGCAACAACGTCTAAATGACATCGTGACGTCAGTAGCAAAAGTAGGCCATCGGCTGCTTGTTTATTTTTTGTGCTAAATAATTAAATTATCCAAAGCGCAAATTAAGTGATCTGCTCCAGCACGATAAATGATAAAAAAAAAATTCCATGTAAAATAAACACGGTCATTAACCTCACATTATGTATAACGGTCACGTAAGTATAAGTGGGGAATTGATGCGCATGATATTGACATCGCAAGTAAAAATTACAATAGTCACAGTTGCAAATTTGTGTCAAACGCAGCATAAAATGTAGGGCAGGTTTGTCAATGAGTAATGCAAGTGGGATTGAATTCACGTGGCTGGTTACAGGCAAGGCAGCCTCCTAATTACGTGAAAGGGCTGCCTTTTGCAGGGATTGGTAGGGCTTGTATTACATCACATCTCCCTACCCTTCCTCTACCCCCAGGGGCATCCATTCTCTCGACACGTGCAAATATCACGGTCCGCAATGGCTGCGATTTGTTAAGACCGGACAGAAAGACAAATTCAGCTCAGGTACGCCACCCTCAGGATTTGAGCACCCTCCTAGCCAGAGGCGAAGTTGTGGAGTGTGTAGAATGCCCCCTCTGCAGGGTTGTTTTGTCTACTCTTCCAGAACAGCAAGAACCTTGAAAACTGTGGACCTCTGGAGCCCTGGGTTCCAAGCACCGAAGGGCTCAAGAAATTCCATAGATTGAGCAGGCCAACATTTGTAGGATTTCAGAACCAAAATAAGTATTTATACTGGAGGAATCCAATGAGCTATAAAGCACTTTTTCACAGATGCCCAGTATGGGCGGGTCAGACCGTTACAACAACAATAATTACAGAAAACATGTTAGGAGTTCAAAGCATAGAAAAGTTAAGCAAATCACACAAAAAATACAAATAAAACTAATCTATGTTTATTTTACCTGGTAAAGCCCACCGAGCTATTAGCTTTTTCAGAAGCGACCTGCCCACAAATGATAGCTCAACGAGGTGGCTTATCATGTGGCAATTTATAAAATTTGCGCATGGGGATTGCGTAAATTTATGCGAGATTCTATGGGCGGTAGCGAGCAGCCTCATGCCTGCCATATTACATCCACACACACCCTTGCTCTCCACAAACATACCATCACAAATACACAGACAATATCACAAATACAGACGCAGAGACACGCACCGGTTGCCTTTCCCCCGCACCTCCAATTGGCACGGTTGGTCTCATACGGTGCGAAAGAAGTTCAACATACACATACAGACACAATATCACAGATATACAGGCTATCACAAATATACAAGCACACGGTGGCGCTCATCAAGACAAACTCATGCACAGACTCAGACTCACAGAGATTCACACAGATAATTGTATTTAATTTTTTTTGCATGTTGCAGTTACAATTCAGGCAAAATTACTTAATTCTCACAGTTCATGGCATTCTTATATGATTTTACAGTTGATATGCATTATGATTTACGTAATTATATCCATTCTAAGCGCACGGATACCCAATTCCATAAGTTCTGATGAAGACGTGATATTATTTTAACATTGGCAGTGGATGCATTTTTACATGAGTGTAACATGCCTAATGTGTGTGTTGTTTCATTATTCCGACAGTTCTAATCAAGACATTGTTAAATCATCATAGCAGTTTTAATGACGTTGTTTTACACCACTCTAACCTACGAATTTCTTTCGATTTAAAGCTTTCGTGACTGCAAGGATTCATCTTCTTTGGTTATTTCGGTAAAGTCACGTAGAATGAGAATAAAATAATCAATTAATAAAATAAAATAACACAATAAAATTCTACTAATTTATGTTCCATCATTCTCTATCAGTTCTAATCAAGACATTGTTACATCATGCTATCTGTTTAAACGGATGTATTGGTACACCTGCGTATTGGTACATACAGTGAGGGAAAAAAAGTATTTGATCCCCTGCTGATTTTGTACGTTTGCCCACTGACAAAGAAATTATCAGTCTATAATTTTAATGGTAGGTTTATTTGAACAGTGAGAGACAGAATAACAACAAAAAAATCCAGAAAAACGCATGTCAAAAATGTTATAAATTGATTTGCATTTTAATGAGGGAAATAAGTATTTGACCCCTCTCAATCAGAAATATTTCTGGCTCCCAGGTGTTTTTTTATACAGGTAACGAGCTGAGATTAGGAGCACACTCTTAATGAGACCAAAATGGAGCTCTTTGGCATCAACTCAACTCGCCGTGTTTGGAGGAGGAGGAATGCTGCCTATGACCCCAATAACACTATCCCCACCGTCAAACATGGAGGTGGAAACATTATGCTTTGGGGGTGTTTTTCTGCTAAGGGGACAAGACAACTTCACTGCATCAAAGAGATGATGGACGGCGCCATGTACCGTCAAATCTTGGGTGAAAACCTCCTTCCCTCAGCCAGGGCATTGAAAATGGGTCGTGGATGGGTATTCCAGCATGACAATGACCCAAAACACACGGCCAAGGCAACAAAGGAGTGGCACAGGAAGAAGCACATTAAGGTCCTGGAGTGGCCTAGCCAGTCTCCAGACCTTAATCCCATAAAAAAATCTGTGGAGGGACCTGAAGGTTCGAGTTGCCAAACGTCAGCTTCGAAACCTTAATGACTTGGAGAAGATCTGCAAAGAGGAGTGGGACAAAATCTCTTCTGAGATGTGTGCAAACCTGGTGGCCAACTACAAGAAACGTCTGACCTTTGTGATTGCCAACAAGGGTTTTGCCACCAAGTACTAAGTCATGTTTTGCAGAGGGATCAAATACTTATTTCCCTCATTAAAATGCAAATCAATTTATAAAATTTTTGACATGCGTTTTTCTGGATTTTTTTTATTATTCTGTCTCTCACTGTTCAAATAAAGCTATTATTAAAATATAGACTGATAATTTATTTGTCAGTGGGCAAACGTACAAAATCAGCAGGGGATCAAATACTTTTTTCCCTCACTGTAGGTAACATTTGGAGAATAAGACACTGACTGAATGAATTGACAATGGTAAGAATATCGAAGGTCTAAAATGTAATGGTCTCTGCTGTATCAAGCAAGACATGTTGAGATGATGTGAATAACACATTGGGGGGAGATTAATGAATAATAGAAGGAGTGGATTTTTTAGAAAATAATTTGAGTGGCGTTGAGCAGAACAGTTGCAGAATGACCTAACACCACAGACAAATGGAATGAGCAATATGTACCGATGTATGCTGAACTTCTTTAGTACCATACGTAGCCAACCGTGTTCATCGGAGGTGGAGGAAAAAATGTGACTAAGAGGCAGATTGATAATACGAAGGACTGAAATGGCCTAAAATGTTGGAGCAGTGACCAATAATAAAAGATGGGGATCCCTGGCAGCCAACCTCTTAGTTAGCGGCAGCACAGATTATTGTTTTGTATGCCTCAGCAAGTTTGTTTGACATGAGAAGCAACAAGAGTATAGCTTTAAGATACTTTATCCTTCTTCATGGCCTTTGAGCCAAAGTAGGAAACATCAGCATCCTGAAAAGATAACCAAACAAGCCTATTAATGTATTTCTAGAACTCAAAACAAGCTATAGTAACTGTGAAAAAAAACCTAAACACTCATCAACAACACCGTGGCCTGAAAAGATAAAATATATAATCGCCAATTTTTGTGGCAATGGTCCTTCTTCAGAGCACATAAACAGAGGCCAGAGAGATCATTAATATGTTTAACAACATGGGACCTAAGGAGAATTGTAAACATGTTTTCTGATGACCAGTTTGAAATAGGCATATAGACAGTTATCGAATAGTGTTGAGTACTAGACAAAACCCTGAATAATCAAACATATTACTAAATAAACTCATTTATATTGAAAGCTAAATTATAAAATGTTGCTGGAACAATGCACGGTGGGAAGGTTATTGTGAGGACAAACGAGGCACAGCCTCCTTGGCAGTACATTATGGTGCCCGAATTACAATTAAAATAAAAGGAATTTAATTGGCATGCATTTGAAGAAAATTAATTGCTGATGAGCCAGTAGCTTGCACAAGCACAGCCAAAAAAAACCAGACAAAAATCTGAACGTGCTGTTCAACATGGTTATATCTGAAGCAGAGAAGCCTGGGAAATAAAATATGGAGAACTATGACACCTAAAATAAATCAAATGAAACTAGATAGAGATATGGTTTGTCCAGCACGAAATAACAAAGTTACGCTCTAAGTGGATGTGAGGCATTCAGTTGGCCCTGCCGGGTGAACAGTATTCAGCTTCAACATGATGTGGTGGCCTTCTGTCCTTTTTCTGGCCTCATTCCCCCCACCCGCATCATAAATGAAAGCCGAGGCCACACACATGTTCATCAGTTTCTCCAATGTGAGCCAGATTGGTGGAGGTGTGTGTAAATCCATGAGCCATCACACACGGTGCTCTGGGTGTTTTTTTATTTTTTATCTGTGTATCAGTGACGATACATGAACGGGTTGCGTCTTCTGATCGTACGGGACGGTTTCTGGTTGTGCTATTATTGCTCATGTTTAGCATTGAGCTGTGTACTGGCAGGTCCCCTGAGGTTTGTTATTCTCAGGGATTCGCATGACGCTGGTTCTTTGAAAATGTTGGCAGTACATGTGTCACCCCTATAGGATATGAAAAATGTAAATGATGATAGGACAGAGTTACTACGCTGTTTTTTGCAGGAGGATCCTGCCAAGTTTTTGCAGGAGGGGGTGATGCTGCTGCTGTGTGTCACCCAATTGGATTAATCACGTTAGTGCAATCACAATGAAGGTAGACCTTACCAGCCCATTGCGAAAGTTGTAGATGCGACGACGTCCAATTTTGGCAGTGAGGCGCCACGCTAGGGTGGGCGCGTACTGCCACAGGTAAGCTGCAGACAGGTATGGCTGCTGCGCTATCCAGGCCTCAGGGAGGCGGGCGGCCAGGCTCACGGCGATGAGGCGTGCACAACGCTCGGCGGACATTTTATAAGTTTGATCTTTTTGCTCACCCACAGCCTACGCAGAAAAAAATGATGCGCCACATCAACATTTACTAATATTGAGTGCATTAAAATAAAATTGAAATAGCGCTGCCAACACATTGTAGAAAGAAAAAACATCCCGAGTGACGTTAAGAAGGTGCAAACAATTAACAGCTCACAGCTCTTCTAATGTAGAACACTACCATATTTTATTATGTGATGCATCTGCCCTCTACTGGCAAAATATGAATTCCACATTCCCAATGGAAGTTGGATCAAAAAACACATTGATATAGGTTACATAATTATTAAGTACTTTACACCCTTGAAACGCCCTTGTATTTAATCTATGAGGTCAGGTTAATACTGAACTATAAGTAAAACAAAACAGACAAAAAAACATAAAAATATAGAAAATTATTAAACAAATAGATGATTGAGGTAAAATCATATCATAACCATCACCTTTAATTACTAGGGTGTGTGTCTACTGACCTCGTCACCCTTTCCAGAAAAGGCATTGCTGATGATGTGGGACTGGACGGGCCCAGGGCACACCGTGCTTATCGTGATTTGTGGGTACTCGTCCAGCTCTGAGCGTAGAGCATTAAACGCACCCTGAGAGCAGAGATGAAAATCACATCAGAATCAGAATCTTTATTTATCCTGGATAAATCCGATAAGCTATGATGCTCCTTCTCACAGATGTCCAGCAGGGAGGGGCAGGTCAGAAAGTTACAACAACAATACAAAACAATGATAGGAGTACAAAGTAAAGGAAAGGTAAGCAAATCACAAATAAATAAACGACAATTAAACAATTTTTATTTTTCTTGGTAAAGCTATTAGTTGTTTTTCAGAAGCGACCTGACCACAAATTATAGCTCAGTGAAGAATATCTCAATGAAATTGTTTATTTATAATGTATAGCAGCCAAATAATCTAAATGCATGTTTCTAATTGTGGAGGGAAAAAAATAGAGTATCCGGAAAAAAAAATCCACGCGACCACGGGGAGAACATGCAAACTCCAAATATACAGGCCTCAGGGTCGGGATTAAACCCACGACCTCCTGTATACCAGGTGAGGAAGATAAGCAATGTATCAATATCAAACAACCTAGTTATGGAACATTTATATATGACTCATTCAATCATTATCTTTGAGCAATTATAGAACAGGTTTTTCTTATTCTCAAAGCCTGAGAGCCATGGGCTTTAGTCTGCCCACGATACTTTTTGTAACCTACGGACTAAATATTACGTTTAGTTTTATAATGAACTAATTTATTTGGGGTTCTTATAAAATCATTGTAGTGTTTACATCACTACCAAGGATGTTCAATTTGCAGTGTTGTCATTGCCAGCAGAAAGAGTGATCCTCTGCTGATGACATCATTTTCCTGGTGTGGACAGAGAGGGACAATGCGTGCAACACATCAGCATATGAATGTTCGTTAGAGGCTCAATAATTGTCCTTTTGCAACCTTTTCTTCCAAATTACATCCATAATGCTTTTTCAACCACGTTTTTCCCAATATCCAAATTGCTTACAGTACACTGTTACAATTGTCCTGGCTCCGTGCCTCAGAGTTACGGTCATTTATATCTGTGAAATATTGTCCGTGTTACAAAATAAATTATGATGCAATTCCCAAAAATTCGTTGACATACCAGAAACTGCGTTATGCCAATTGTTTGCAGCCTTGCAGAGGTAACAGGCTAGTTGTCTGCAATACCCAATTCTACCAGAGTAAGTCGCACAAATAAACCTGTATTACAAGACTATAATAGAGGTAGGAACAACAGGTTCCACACTGCCCACCAGGGATTATTTGTCTGTCGTGCATATCCGGAATTCCATCTGTATAATTGGAGTTTCGGCACTAATTTCCAACACGGATCGCATGAATGTGCTGTCCAACCAAGTTCCTACCTGCCCACTCCGAAGAAACGTGTTACATTACATTATAACAAGAACGTCGGAAATCTTTTACAAAAAAAAAACTCAAGGCACACAGGACTGTATTTCCATGGAGTCAAAATAACATTATGTACACCTTAACATAAATTGTGCACATTGTACAATGAGAGCATTTGTTTAAGCTTCTACGGGACTGTTGTATTTTATACCCTTTGGCTCTATTTGGTAAAGTCACGTAGGTAAAAAATAAAACAACAAAAATGTGGTTTTATTTTTTACCTACGTGACTTTACCGAATAGAACCAAAGAGTATGGATCCTTGCAGTCACGAAAGCTTCAAATCTAGAATTGTTGTATTTTACTTTTTCAGTGCTTGTAGTTGTTTTAACTTTTGTGTTATATATGCCGATGCTCTGCAAAACTACTGACCTGCACAGCGTGCTTGGAAGCACAATATCCGGCTGAGAGCGGCACTCCGGCCAGCCCAGCAATGCTACTCACAGCAAGGAGAATGCCCCCATGACTACCAGGTGCCATCATGCCAGGAAGAACACAGCGTGCCAAGGACACAGGGGCCAGCACGTTGAGTTCAAATAGTGTCCGGTACACACAGAGGTCCGTATCCATGAAGAGTGACCGCTGAGAGCGTCCAGCGTTATTGACCAAAACATCAACCTGCATGGGGATGAGTTGAAAAAGGGTTAACGGGGGTGGGAGAATATAGATATTTGCGGCGTAATGTTTACCTGAAACGGTAGCCCTGAAAAGGAATGACATCAAATGAATAAGCATTTTACAAAGAAGGCTGAGAAGTGGGACTTAACAAAAATATGATCCAAAACCAAAGTAATGTACAACAAATTTTCTTTTAAAAAATAACATTGAATGTAAATTTGAAAATACAGTAGAATGTGCATCTACGGTAGTTTTCAAAGTGGTCAGGATCAAAATGATTAAATAAAGAGAACAAGAGCAGGTCGGAGGGCCTTTATGATTAATAAGAGAAGCTGCTCATGTGTCTGGAAGATTTCAATCAGTGCATTACACTGAGAGATAATAAAAGGAGCGCATCGATCAGTGAACACGCACAAATGGGTGACACCGTATTGACAAGAAAAGTAAATGGGCATGAGCAAGCCACATTGCTAGACTGAATGATGGCCAACAGTTGAGACCTGTGGTAGAATAGCAGCCACAGGACAGATTTCATCCCCAAGGGATGGCCAGTCTCGAGAAGAAGAGAGATCAGCTCATGTGCAGAAGTGAGGTCTACGGTAGCCAGTACGGACAATGAGGGATGGCAACAGCGTAGGAAGGCCTTCATCCAGCAGTGGATAGACAATGGCTGATGGTGATGATATTCAACACATTGAGGTGAGTGATTACACTCACACCAAGCTCATCGTAGTGGCCTTGGTGGTCACGTGACTTGCCATGGGGATTGGGAAACTTGGGATGTGGGGGACATGGAATGTGAACACCATGTCTTTATACGGCAGCTGTAATGTTACCTGGGCTCACTAACACAGGATCTGAGTTCACATCCAAACAGTAGCCCCTCCCTGCCATAGAATTTCCATCACTGGCTTAGGCCGGGGAGCTAAAAATAGATGAGCAAAACCCCATGCTTGTTCAAGTAATAAAAATATATGCACAATGTAGTTTACCAATCAACGTTTTAACATTTCTTTTCGTGCACACAATTGTTTGTTAACCGATTTCACAAGCACACAATGGCATTTTAATGCAACCCCTTCTGTACAACAGAAGCCTATATAATAGCCAGTCGTGAATATGAAGTTATACGGGGACCAAAACTGCTTACACGTCCAAATCGGTCGAGTACAGCTTTGGTACATGCTTCGTGTGTAGATAAGTCCAGGACATCCATAGGCAGCACTAGGATGTCACTTTCCTTCAATGAGCTATCCTCTGTGGGGTGGTTGGAGATAGGACAAGAACAGACACGTGCGTGCTCATGGACAGCCTCATTGGATATTAACATTAAAGCATTATCTACATTCCTTATGAACAACCTGATCAAAATTCGCAGTTATGAGTTACAACTTCGTATCTAGCCAAAACTACGGTACTTCATTTATATTGCTTAACCATGACCATTCTGCGAATACGAATGTTCTCGCTGAATGCGTAGTTCACGTAACGCATTTTCGCCGTAACGTGGTTCTTCCATGAGGGAGCACTTTTCGCGGAACGTGCGCCGTTACAACGCGGCTTCTGAGAGGTCGACGACGAACCACTTTCTTGAGCTGCGTGGCTGAGCGGCACAATGATACACTACGCGGAATGATACAATGACGTGGCGACGTACCCTCAGTTATTTGTCCGGCATCTTAATGCATGCGAGTATGTTCGGAACTCGCCAAACTTTACCGTTACATTATTTACGACAAAATGGTTTGTTGCATAACGCGTTTTTTGCTTCAATCGACACTTTTCAGGAACGCATCTTCCGCGCTAAACGAGGACTTACTGTAGAGTAAAAACCTCTAATCGTTAGACTAATTGGGGGAAGAGCATACACGGTTATAAGGAATGCCTAGTTTGAAAATTTTCATTTTTATTACATTATATGAAATTCAAACCGAATACACTTAATTAACACTGAAAACAATTAACTAACGACAACTCAAGTACAGGTTAATCCGGGTCACTTGCCATCACCACAAAGCAGACATGGAAGCAGAGGTTCACAGGATGTAGAAGACTGCATAGATATATTCTGACAGGCTTAAAACATTGATGTTACTTATTATTTTAAACATGAAAGTAAAACAAACTGTGAAGAAACGAAAGATTGCACGAAAATAACACGTGGATTAACACAGCATACAATGGAATTGTTTAACCGAATTCCATAGAACGGGGAAAAGTACACTACGTGTGTGTGTGTACAGATTTAAGGATATTATTTGACGATAGTACGTTGGCAGCCAGCAAAGACATGAAGATGATGAATACCTCTTTTAAAAATAAGGAGTCTAGAATGTGCACATGGAGAAACCCAAATTCTGAAGATAGGAAGGATATTAACTTTATTCTAACAAACATGAGACAAATGGGAATGTCCCTGTCCCTCAACACAATCAAAATGGGAAGCCACCATAGACTTTGAGATGCAAGCTACACCTAAAATAGCCAAGGGAGGGCAAAACTAATTGCAGGAAAAACCAAGATGGTTAAGATGTACATATCCATGATCTCATGTATATAAATCGTTCACGAAGATCACTGGGAACAGAATAACAAATTAGGGGCTGGCCAACCAACCACGGAAGCAAAGTGGGGTCAGGAAAAGTATCTTTACCATCGACCACATGCAGACTATTCCAGGTACGAACCCAGACTTAAACCATTTCCTGCACCAGGCTCACCCAGGCAGTTCTTCCGAACGCGTTGCAGCTCTGCCTCCCGGCGTGCCGACAGCACCAGCTGGCATCCACATCGCGCCAACTCCCGAGCAAGGGCCTCGCCAATTCCACTGGAGGCACCGGTCACCCACACAACGTGACCTCGCAGCTTCAGAGCTGCACATACCAACACCAAATATCACACAGAAGAAACAATACAGTCATACCTCGGTATACGACCGCTTTGGAATACATCGAATTTGGTATACGACGTGTTTTGACGAGACAAAAATGTATTGGGATACGACGTCTTGCTTGAGATACGACGCGATAGCTAGAACTTGTATGGGTCGGGATGAGTCACCGCCTACAGTACCCGCGTACACAATACTGTTACGGCTTTACGAAGCCGTAACAGTATTGTGTGGAATGACCAGACAATGTCACACTTCAGGAACATTCTTCGAAGAAGGCAAAAACAAACTTCAATGGACAGGTTTTTAGTAAAACTCAAACCTGGTGAGCCTCAACCAGGTCCAAGTCAAGAAAAAAGACAGAAAAAAGACAGAAAAGATAAAAAAAACCCCAGAATTTTAGCTTCCTGAAATTTTAATGGCAGGGGACTCTCCTTCCAAAAAATAACATTTTCTCCCCTTCCTCACCACCATCCTCGTAGGTTATCAACTCCTCTCAGCAAGGTAAAGTGATGTTAAATTTTATTTTTATTTCAATTTATTTTAATTTATTTATGCATTTATTTTAATTTATGTATGCATTTTAGTAATAAGTAATGTCTATGTTATACAACCACATTAATGTATATGCCATATAAAATATCATTTCTTATACTCTGGAACGAATTATTTCCTTTCCCTTTTATTCCTATGGGAAAAATTCGTTTGGTATTCGTAATTTTCGGTATAAGTCCTACTACCTTCTGGAACGAATTAACGACGTATGCCGAGGTACCACTGTAGTTTTTTATTGTCATTGATTTTGTATGTTTGTTTATGCTTTTACTTTCAACTATATTGCAAATGTGTTATATCATTCACTTACGGAGTCTCTTCAATTGCCCCCCCCCCCCCTTTATCCACAGGGGCTACCGGTGATTGTTTTAACAACTTTAATTCTTCACAATGGATGCCTCATGGGGAAGGTTCTTGGGGGCCACTGGGGTATTCACTGCAAGGCGAGGCACGCGCGTTCTAGTCATGCTCTTCCAAGAATAAAACGCCACCGATGGGCTCTTTCAATCCATAAATGGTGACAGGAATCACCATGCAGATTTAAAATATCACCTCTGCTCGATAAAAAATCGCCTCTGCTCGATCACTGCTCGATCACATATACAAAGCCACGCCCAATTCATACATATACAGGGTGTTTAAAAATATGGACCCAATTTCAAAGCAGTATATTTCACGATGGCAACATGTTAAAATTACACAAAAATTACAAACGGTTTAATGAGTTATCAAGTTTTACTAACCATTTTATAAATGCTCTATGTGCCCTCCACCTGCTGTACGGACAACATTGAGACGATATTTGAATTCGTCCTAAATGCCTCTCAAAGTGTCTTCTTCGTGGTCGCACTGTGCTCTTCCCCTTACATAAACAGCCTGTTTCCTCAAATTGTCGGTACCAATGACGAATGCTCTTTGACATTGGCGGATCAATGCCAAGACGCCATTGAAACGTACGCTGCACCATAATTACGGATTCAGTCTTGCTGAACTGCAGAACGCAAAACGCCCCTTGTGTTGTGGGGTTGCCATCTTGCGAATGACTGAGGCTAGGAGCTGTTTGTGCGCTGGGAGAGGCTAGCGGTAACCATTTAAAACTCTATGCCCCGCCCTTTAAAGTGGCAAGAGTTTCATTCATGGGCGGTTCGTGGTTGCAGAGATATAGCGATTTAAATTCGGTTCTATCTTTTTAAAACACCCTGTATATGGTCCTGAAAAATTTACATAATTTAACATTCATGAAATCATGGAATTCATTTTGTCCTGTTCCAGTGCCGCTCAGTGGACCACGACGACTCAACTACTTCACTGATTTCTTCCATTTGTGCAACAGCACTGTTGCATCCCACAGACGGAACGCATTCGCCAAAGAAGCATGCTATGTGTAAACTTTTCCTTTTTGACGTTTTATCTCCCGAGAGCAATGGTTCTTAACCTGGCGTGCACGCACCCCATAGGGGTGCAAGATGCCCTTTCTGGGGGTGCGAGACATGCCAATTTTTTTTTTTAAGTAAATCATCGAAACACAAATTAATCATGGGCATGTAAGTACAACCACTTTGTTTAATCAAATCTATGTATTTATTAACATAATATTTTAAACGACTCAGAACTAAAGGGGTGCAAGGCTGCAGAAAAGGTTAAGAACCACTTCCCTAGAGGACCGCACAATGGTGATCATAAAAACGTGCCGTGTCTCCGTGTAGATAACCCATTGTACACTGCCAGGCCTCAGAGTCGTTGCTTGTGGGGCACTCCTTTGAACAAGACCACCATGAAGATGAATATGAAGATGAAGAAGGTGAGCTCAATGAGCTGTAAGCTCTAGAAGCAGAGCCAATCCTCATTGAATACTTACAGGCCCTCTTATCCTCACCCTCTAGACAATGGCTGATAATGATGTGTGAACAAGTTTAACAAACGTTAACCTTTCCTCTCAGTGGAGACCGGTGGGAAAGATTTCAAATGCAAATAAAGGGTGTTTTCGCCATATTCACGAAATACGTGTTCATATGTACAGACACTATTTGTTCTAAATGTACTAAATGTAATCCAAGCTGAATATTAAACTCAGTTTCGCCAATTAAGAATGCAGAAGGCTTGGATTTGTTTGACCATAAGCTACATCTACAGATATACAATACACAACAGAACACTTGTTTTCTCTGTGTTTTGTATCCCCTGTATTTGAACGTATTGATGGTACACCAGCGCACAATATAAAAAGCAAATTTTTGCAATTTTTTTTCCCCGCAATTCGCAATCCCGGTCAGAAAATCTTGCGGTGTGGTGATGGTGCATCAAAATTAGTTTTCGTGATGTTGAAGCAGTCGGAAGATGAATGTTATGACTCATGCCCTAGACTTGATTGAACAGTTCCTCGATTCATTTCCGGAATAATTTCCCTGATGGACGGTGGTATCAAAAGACTGTGCCTCATGGTGCCACACATTCGAATGGGAAAGCAGCTGCTGAATTTAAGGCAATTCTGATGGTGAGTCTGCAGCTCACTCAAGGGTCAATCGCACATCGTCAGTTCGGGCCCTCATCTTTATCCTGGTGGGTCTACAGCAGCAGCTCAGTCAGCGGCAACAGCAAGGGCTACGACAGCGTCTGTAAGAGCTTCATCGTCAGCTGGACAGTCGGCAGTTCCATCAATGGCAACTGCGTCTACACGGACGCAGTTGCTTTTTATGAGAACTGGCGTGTTAAGCTGCACCGGTGTACCGCCAATACATCCATTTGCTGTCTCAAAGAGAGCTATGGAACGTGTTTGCACTCGTGTTTGTACCTGGATCAGGGCCCCTGCGCTCAGCCCACATGAGGGTCAGGTCACCATCAGCCAGCAGCAGACGAATCAACTGCACCAGCACGAGAGCAGCAATGCCGGCCAGGAGTAGCACACCCAGCCACTCCATCCTGGACACTGCTGCCACACACACACGCGTGAACACACGTTGTCTCCGTGTCAGTGTGAGGAGGTAAGCAGTCAACACTCTTTACTACTCCCAGGTGCACACCCACATTCACCTTCACCCCCTCCGTGTGCTGTACAATACGATAATATTGTACACCCGACCAAATCACCAATCACAGATTTGTCCGAAAATGGAAGTAAGCGGGCGTGGCGTTAGCCGATGGGGCCTGTCTTTGTCCATATGGTCCTGTGAATCGTGACTCGAGGATAATTGTATCGCTCACGTAATCAATATTAATATACAATGGGACATAAGAATAGCACTGTTTTGTATGCGACTCATTGAATCAAGTTTTAGATTAAAAAAACGGACATCAGAATCCAATGTTCCTCATCAATATAAAGACAGACATAAACAAAAATACCATGTTAATCACAGTAATTTGCGAGTTCATCGCTGTGTCAATTCATTTCCAATAGATCCACGGATCAAGTAATGATTTGACACAAGCCCATCCGTTCATTTGATTGGCTAATATTAGCGAGATCAGTGAATCTGTTGCGGTCCGCTTTTGTTGTTCCCACACAGCACCTACATTTTTGCATGGTCACAAAGACGGCCAACTTATCTCACACAGTCGCGTGCAATGGGACCATTATTTTTATGTTGAGTTTGAGATTTAATGCCACGGGACAAATCAGTGGACAAATTTGGCTCGCAGGAGGGCAGTGTACAAAAGTACGTTGAACAGAATTACATCTGCAGCGAGGACATACCTGTGAACCCCTTATCAGTGCCTAACTTATTATAGACTAATTCAGACCTTATTGGCACCCAAGTGACCTTAGATATTTCAACATTCATCCTACAAAGCCCGTATTGATACGGCTGTACGCCAAATGGACCTGAAAACTCGATTTCTCTGAACAAGAATACGGGTAAAACAGTATAGGTTGGCAGCTATGCCAGGACCAGGCCGGAGGTGATACAAGTTGAACACCATCAGAGGGCTCAATTTAGCTGTGACTGACAGAATGGCTGGTGATTGATGACTTCTGAGTACATGAGTAAATAACTAAGTTCAAGAATTATGGATGTGGATGCATGAGTTATTAAAAAATTACTGACTGCATGGAAGTTCAATAACAATACTGTAATAAACATGATTTATAATGCTCTCTCTGGTATGGACCAATCAGTTTTAAAGACAATGCATATACTACCACAGAATGTTTTTTTTCATGTTCACCACAAGTACGTGTGGTTAATGCAGACTGGATTCCTTGAATAAGGATTCTGTTAGGTGTTTTAACATCTTGACACCTGTTTCCTTGCCAGAAAGGGTAAAACCTATTGTTATAGTATTCTTTGGGTCTTTCGGTAAAGTCACGTAGATAGGTTCAAATAAAATAACAAAATAACAAAAAACTACGACGTTTCAATCACAACACAAGCGGTCGTCATCAGGAAAAGGGGGGTTAGTGTCTAAAGACGACTGCTTATAAAGGTTTGAAATGGGCGTAGCCCAAATGTCAGCAGCCAATGTTAATGTAAGTGGTGGGCAGCGACCGCGGTGGTGGTAGGGGCTTTCCACCAATCAAAGGGCTGCCAGGTAAAAATTAGCATATCAATGTAAGATCGCCAAGCATCCTCCACGGTGAGCGTGCCAAGGTGGCTATGTTAATGTAAGTTATTAGCATGTTAATGGAAGATCATGAAGCAGCAGCCTCGAGGATGGCGCACGCGGTAGCTGTGTTAGTGAGAAAATGTATCTGTTAATGTAAAAAACCAGAGAGCCGAAAATAACATCGGAAGGTGGTAGGATGGGAACATCACAGCCAGTTATGACTTAAACTGGTTAATAACGTCCTTCCAATTATTGCTCAGTTTGTACCCATCTTCTCAGTTCAAATTGTGTCTGTGTCTATATATATGGATAGCTTCATGAACTAATCTTTGTTGATAGCCAGTGGGTTTGCAAAGTACCTTCGTCTTAGAGAAATCAATTTCGTGTGAGCCCACCGCATTAAAACAATGATAAGCCACGGCCGAGTTATTGGTCCTACCGTGTCGTAGATCTGCCTTATGTTCACGAACACGGCCCGAGACATGTCGCTTAGTTTCCCCAATGTAACTACTGCTGCAGACACAGCTTAGTTTGTAGACGCTGGGGTTATTGCATGTCAGGGATCACATCCTTCACAGATGGGATGAGATCACGAATTTTACATACTGTGTTAAATCGAACCTGGATCTTGTGTTTGTTCTTTGATTTTGGAAATATTTTTGGTGGCCCCTGCTATGTATGGCAAGGTGATGGTTTTGATTTGGTACTCAGATGGTTCTTTCCCACTGGTTGGGGTGATAGCTTTTCGGATTGTGTAGTCTGAATATCCATTCATCTTGAGAGCTTGGTGTACGTGTTCCAGTTCACTGGCTAGGTGATGGTCAGAAATACATTGAGTTCTATGGTGTAGAGTTTTGATGAGGGAATTCTTCTGGGCTGGATGGTGGTGGGAGTCAGGTTTTAGGTAGGCACCCGTATGGGTGGCTTTCCTGTAGACAGTGTCCCATTGAGCCATCTGGTCTCTTTTCGATTAAAACATCCAAGAATGGTAACTTGCCATCCTTTTCCACCTCCATGGTGAATTTGATGAATGGGTGTATAGAATTGATGTGGTTGGGGAATTGGTTCAGAGCTGGTCGGCCATGTGGCCAGATGACGAACGTGTCATCTATGTACCTCTTCCACAAGGACGGACATAGAGTGGATGCTTGGATGGCATCTGTCTCAAATATTTCCATGAAAACATTGGCTACAACTGGAGATAAGGGGGAACCCATTGGGGTACCTTCAACTTGTTTGTAGAATGTTCCATTCCAGGTGAAGTAAGTGTTGGTGAGGCAGTGTCTCACGAGGGCCGGTACATCAGCATTCAGTCCTTGTTGGACCAAATGTTCAATTATTGCAATGGTGTCAGGCACAGAACTTTGGTAAACAAAGAGACTAACGAGCAAATTACCTGGAGATAGATGTCCTTAATTAACGATACCAAGTGAGCTAAGTACAGCTGAGGTGTCTTCCCAGTGAATGGTTGTAAGGTCTCAGACAGAAATCGGGCTAGTTTGTAGGTGGGTGAGTCAATGGTGGAGACGATAGGACGAAGGGGTGTCCCTTCTTTATGGATTTTTGGTAAGCCATACAATCTGGGTGGTCTAGCAGCAGAGGGTTTTAAGGAAAATCGCTTGGTTGGTTCGATTAAAGATGTCGAATCAGTGAAGATATTGTTGGTTTTCGTGACGAGGCGGTTGGTCGGATCTCTTTTAATTTTAGTATAGCTACCATCATTAAGTAAGTCCTGAATTTTGATATTGTCCATGATGACTATGGCATTGCCCTTATCGGCTGAGAGGATGACAATGTCATCTCTCTTTTTTAATTGAGAAAGCTCAAAGCGCTCATCCTTACTGATGTTGCTAATAGGTATCTTAGAGTTTTTGAGGATAGCAGTGATTTCCGATCTTGCCACGTCTGCATTAATGTGTCCCAAACCCTTAAGGGAAACGTTGATCTGGGCAATGATATCATCAACTGGGATGTGTTTAGGGGTAACTGCGAAATTCAACCCTTTGGCTAGAACCGATTTTAGGCTGTCGGAAATTGGACTGTTACTCTGATTGATAACAATCTTGTCAACGTAGAACTTTTTTGCGTGTGGATCTGGCTTCTTCTTGGAAAGGAGGTTGAACTTGGAAATCAGGTTATCTTTGCATTCAGCTGACATTGAGGCAGCTGAAGAGGCTGTCATGTTATCTACATGTTTCCAATTGTTATTGTACTTTGTTTTTTTCGGTAAAGTCACGTAGGTAAAAAAATAAATTAAAAAATAAACAAATAAATAATAAAACAAATAAATGTAATCACGACATTTCGGAGGCAACACAAGCTTCCGTCTTCAGGTGGAACAGTCATAGCAAGATAGCTGCATCAAGTTAGAAGCTCTGAGACACTCGAGCTTATATACAGGTTAAGGGGGGGGGGGGGGAGGAGCCAGGCCGGGGATGATGATGAGGTGCGGGGCTAAGTTAATCAGTCTTTTGTTATGCTGAGGGTTCGGGGATGTGGTGGTTCACTGCACGAGGGCAATGAAAAAAAAAGGCTGTGCACTTATAAGGTATCTAAAGTTTTGACTTGGTTTATGACATCTTTCCAGTGGTTGCTTAATTTAAAACGAGAAGACCTGATGGTTCAATGAGCCACTCTGTCTACAGGAAAGCTACCCATACGGATGCTTATCTGAAACCGGATTCCCACCACCATCCATCACAGAAGAATTCTCTCATCAAGACTCTGTATCATAGAGCCCAATGCATATCCGACCAGGAACACATAAGCAGTGAACTCAAGCACGTACACCAAGCTCTTAGGGCTAATGGTTACTCCGACTATACAATCCGCAAAGCTATCACTCAAACCATGAAGAAGAACCCTCTTGAGGAGCCTTTCAAAACCATCACTTTACCCTACATTGCTGGGATCACAAAAAAGATCTCCAAAATCTTGAATAAACACAAGATCCAGGTCCGTTTCAACACATTACATAAAATCCGTGATCTGGTTCCGTCTGTAAAAGATGTGATTCCGGAAATACAATATCCTGGTGTCTACAAACTAAGTTGCCTCTGTGGTAGTAGTTACATTGGAGAAACCAAACGCCATGTCTCGGACCGCATTCGTGAACACAAAGCAGACCTTAAACACGGTAGGACCAACACCTCGGCCGTAGCAGATCATTGTTCTAATTCAGTAGGCTCACATGCCATTGACTTTTCCAAGACAGAGGTTCTTTGTAAGCCATCTGGCTTCCATGAGAGATTCGTTCATGAGGCTATCCACATATACAAGCAGAGAGACAATTTCAACCGAGAAGATGGATTCTATCTTAGCAATCATTGGAAAGATTTGATAAACGATTTCAGTTCTTAATTGATTGTTCACGCTTACAGTGGCTTTCAGACAGCATACATTATAAAAAATTTCGTCTCCCCCCTCCTCTTTTCAAAAAATATAGATGGACTAGTCCTGGGCAAACTGCCAAATCGCTGCGCGTGACGCTAACGTTTTTATAAGTAAATAAATGCGCCGTTTAAAAATACATTTATGCAAACCAACACACCTGAAGATGACCGTTTGAGTTATGGTCGAAACGTCGTGAGAATTTTTTTATTGTTTTATATATATTTTATTATTTTGTTGTTTCTCTTCAACGTGACTTTACCGAAAAAACTAAGATTATAGTGTTCACTCAGTTTTAAGTGTCCTCTTAGTGTTCACTCAGTGTTAAGTATTCACTCAGTCTTAACACAGTATTCACTCAGTGTTAACACAGTATTCACTCAGTGTTAACCCAGTATTCACTCAGTGTTAACACAGTATTCACTCAGTGTTAACACAGTATTCACTCAGTGTTAACACAGTATTCACTCAGTGTTAACACAGTATTCACTCAGTGTTAACACAGTATTCACTCAGTGTTAACACAGCATTCATCAGTGTTAACACAGTATTCACTCAGTGTTAACACAGGATTCACTGTTAACACAGTATTCACTGTGTTAACACAGTATTAATCAGTGTTAACACAGTATTCACTCAGTGTTAACACAGTATTCACTCAGTGTTAACACAGTATTCACTGTTAACACAGTATTCACTCAGTGTTAACACAGTATTCACCAGTGTTAACACAGTATTCACCAGTGTTAACACAGTATTCACTCAGTGTTAACACAGTATTCACCAGTGTTAACACAGTATTCACTCAGTGTTAACACAGTATTCACTCAGTGTTAACACAGTATTCACTGTTAACACAGTATTCACTCAGTGTTAACACCGTATTCACTGTTAACACAGTATTCACTCAGTGTTAACACAGTATTAATCAGTGTTAACACAGTATTCACTCAGTGTTAACACAGTATTAATCAGTGTTAACACAGTATTCACTCAGTGTTAACACAGTATTCATCAATGTTAACACAGTATTCACTCAGTGTTAACACAGTATTAATCAGTGTTAACACAGTATTCACTCAGTGTTAACACAGTATTCACTCAGTGTTAACACAGTATTCACTCAGTGTTAACACAGTATTCACTTAGTGTTAACACAGTATCCACTCAGTGTTAACACAGTATTCACTCAGTGTTAACCCAGTATTCACTCAGTGTTAACACAGTATTCACTCAGTGTTAACACAGTATTCACTCAGTGTTAACACAGTATTCACTCAGTGTTAACACAGTATTCACTCAGTGTTAACACAGTATTCACTCAGTGTTAACACAGTATTCACTCAGTGTTAACACAGCATTCATCAGTGTTAACACAGTATTCACTCAGTGTTAACACAGTATTCACTCAGTGTTAACACAGTATTCACCAGTGTTAACACAGTATTCACTCAGTGTTAACACAGTATTCACTCAGTGTTAACACAGTATTCACTGTTAACACAGTATTCACTCAGTGTTAACACCGTATTCACTGTTAACACAGTATTCACTCAGTGTTAACACAGTATTAATCAGTGTTAACACAGTATTCACTCAGTGTTAACACAGTATTAATCAGTGTTAACACAGTATTCACTCAGTGTTAACACAGTATTCATCAATGTTAACACAGTATTCACTCAGTGTTAACACAGTATTAATCAGTGTTAACACAGTATTCACTCAGTGTTAACACAGTATTCACTCAGTGTTAACACAGTATTCACTCAGTGTTAACACAGTATTCACTTAGTGTTAACACAGTATCCACTCAGTGTTAACACAGTATTCACTCAGTGTTAACACAGTATCCACTCAGTGTTAACACAGTATTCACTCAGTGTTAACACAGTATTCACTCAGTGTTAACACAGTATCCACTCAGTGTTAACACAGTATTCACTCAGTGTTAACACAGTATTCACTCAGTGTTAACACAGTATTCACTCAGTGTTAACACAGTATTAATCAGTGTCAACACAGTATTTACTCAGTGTTAACACAGTATTCACTCAGTGTTAACGCAGTAATAATCAAGTGTCAACACAGTATTCACTCAGTGTTAAGTGTCCAGTGTCAAACGAGTGACCACATTAGGAAGAATGCTCACTGACGGAGTGAGCCCTAAGGGGAAAATATCTCATTACGAACTTTCGCAGAACACTGGGCAACTATTAAATAACATTCACAAGTCTCGTCTCTGCATTTAAGATACAGTATACCCTTCTCAACGGCGCTTCCTTTGCCTGACACCCATCACTCTCCTCGCTAGCTAAACTTCTCTAGAGCTCTTTCCTACACATCACGCCCTGAGCACTGCTTATTTAATTATCAACGTCTTGCGCGTGTACTTTCCCCCCACTCGGATCAACTTTATTGTGGCGGTCATTCGATTGTATTCGTGAAAAGGCCTCGATAGAAAACAAGTAACATTTACACCTCTTCTCCCCGTCAGCCAGAACTCGGCAGTGTTTTATCGAAGCAGGCAAATCCCCGCGAGTCTTTATTTGGTTCAGAATCAGAACTTGCTGAACGAATCTGGAGGAATCGGATTAGCTATAGAGAGGGCATTGAGTGTTAATTTTGGAGCTCGCGTACCCCTCAGGCTCCGTAAAAAAAGCCAACAGAGTTTGTTTGGTAAGGCCCGACTGCTGATTAAGACCCGCAAGGTCAAAAACGTCGTCCAAAGTTTGCCTGCCGCCACCCGCCACCAAATTTTCGGCGCGGTCATTAACTGCGCTTTTGTTGCAGGCGAGGTGTACCTTGATGCCAAAGTGCGTGCAAGTGTAGAAGGGTTCTCGTTGCTGGCTGATCACGGGCAAGACCCAGGTGCCATGGGATTGATTGAGATGGCTGGCAGATGCACCACTTGTGCCACCCCCCGCCCCTGCGTTTTATACGCTTCTGCCCTCCGTTGTTGCTGGATGACGACAGCTTCCCAACTTGCCCAGTAGTCTCTGAGTGCACCTAGCCTGGCACCTCCCAGTAGCCTAAAAACTGTACCTAGCCTGGAACCGCCCAAATAGCCTCAGAGCGCGCCTCGCTTCGCACCGCACAGCAGCCCCTGAGTGCACCTAGCCGGGCACCACCCAGCCTGCGGCCTTCACGATCCTCCTCCACACGGCCTCCAGCAGCAGCAGCCGGGTTCACTGCGTGACGAGTGACAGCCCCGGCTGGGAGCGGCTAGATGCGGGTCTGGTGCCTCCACTGCTCAGGGAGAGGGAGGGGGTCCAGACAGCAGAGGAGTCTCTATTGTTTGCATCATGGGGCCTCCCTTGCCAGCATCAAAATACAGAGTGCTTCAACATTTGTTTTAACACTTATACGGGACGATTTGGTCCAACAAGGAATGAATGCTGATGTACCGGCCCTGGTGGGACACTGCCTCACCAACACTTACTTCACCTGGAATGGTACATTCTACGAACAATCTTGAGTTGAATATTGATTTGAAGCTTTCGTGACAGCTCTTTGTTTTTTTTCGGTAAAGTCACGTAGGTATAAAATAAAATACAAACAAGTTGAAGGTACCCCAATGGGTTCTCCCTTATCTCCAGTAGAAGCCAATGTTTTTATGGAAAAGTTTGAGACAGATGCCATCCAGGCATCCACTCTACGTCCGTCCTTGTGGAAGAGATACGTAGATGACACGTTTGTCATCTGGCCACATGGCCTGCCAGCTCTGATCTAATTATTCAACCACATCAATTCCATACACCCAGCCATCAAATTCACCATGGAGGTGGAAAAGGATGGCAAGTTACCATTCTTGGATGTTTTAATCGAAAAGAAACCAGATGGCTCAATGGGACACTGTCTACAGGAAAGCCACCCACACGGATGCCTATCTAAAACCTGACTCCCACCACCATCCAGCCCAGAAGAATTCCCTCATCAAAACTCTGCACCACAGGGCTCGTTGCTTTTCTGACCATCACCACCTAGCCAGTGAAATGGACCACGTACATCAAGCCCTCAAGATGAATGGATATTCGGACTACACAATCCGTAAAGCTATCACCCCAACCGTTGGGAGAGAACCACCTGAGAACCCAATCCAAACCATCACCTTGCCATACATAGCAGGGGTCACCAAAAACATTTCCAAAATCATGAGCAAACACAAGTTTCAGGTTCGATTCAACACAGTACATACAATGCGTGATCTGATCCCATATGTGAAGGATGTGATCCCTGACATGCAATACTCCAGTATCTACAAACTAAGTTGTACCTGCGGCAGTAGTTACATTGAAGAAACTAAGCGACATGTCTCAGACCGTGTTCATGAACACAAAGCGGATCTGAAACACAGTAGGACTAATACATCTGCCGTAGCTGATCATTGTTTTAACGTTGTGGGCACACATGAAATGTATTTCTCCAAGACGAATGTACTATGCAAACCCACTGGCTATCAACAAAGATTTGTTCATGAAGCCATCCAGATAGAAAAACACAGACAATTTCAACCGAGAAGATGGGTACAAACTGATCAATCATTGGAAGAACGTTATTAACCAGTTTAGGTCATAACTGCCTGTGATGCTTCCATCCTACCTGCCGATATTTACAGTTATTTCCGACTCTCCGAGTTACATTACCTTGTTAAATGTCTTTACATTAACAGGCTAAATGTCTCACTAACATAGCCGCTGCTGCGGGAGTCATTTCACATTGACATGCTAATCTCTAATCTCGAGCAATACAATGGCTTCTTCAGCATCGTCGTCGTGGAGTTACATTAACAGGTTGACATGCTAATCTCTAGCAATGCCATGACCGAAGTAGTTTACTTGTAAATTCCATCTCTAGCCCCGCCCACTTACCCTTGGGTTGTACCCATCTCAAACCTTTATAACCTCTTGCTGCAGCAGCTCTCTCGCTATATTTCTCCTGCCTCAGCAGTTCGCCTGCTGTATTTTTTCACCTGCTGTATTTTTTCACCTGAAGACGATTGCTTGTGTTGCGATCGAAACATCGTGATTTTTAAAATTATTTTTCTATTTATGTGACTTTAACGAAAGACACAAATAGTACTTATACGGGACTATCGTTTTTAATGGGAAAAGAATGGATAATAACACTGTAACATGATAACAAATGCATGTTCATAGCTTCAAAGTCTCCACTTGTTCGCCTTCATTGTCAACACATACCTGGAATTTTCTCCAGGTGGTTTCCAAAGCCCGGACGTACATTTCTTGTGGATATGTTGAATAGGTTTTACTCTTTCTGGCAATAAAACAGTTCGTGTTAAGATGTTAAAACACCAAACAGAAACCTTTTGCAAAGAATCATGTCTACATTAACAACACACAGCACGTGTGGTGAACATGCAAACAAAACACATGCTCTGGTAGGATATGCATTTCTTTGAAACTGATTGGTCCACACCAGAGACAGCTTTCTTTAGAGCCTAGTCTCAAACAATGTTAGACCAGAGGACAGCGCCAAAGGGCGAACAACACAAAGACAATGCCACTATCAGGACATTGAGAGCTACATCATGGGACCTCCATGATGTAGCTGCATATCCTACCGGTGCATGTTTTTTGTTTGCATGTTTAACATCTTAACACGTGTTCTATTGCCAGAATGGGTAAAACCTATTCTTATATCGTGTGTATGTTGAACTTCTTTCGCACCGTAAGTAGCCAACCGTGCTAATCGGAGGTGCGGGGGAAGGACAATAAACTAAATACACAAAAAATGTTCCAAATAAATGAGTTTTCAATCCGGATTTAAAAGTGCATAGCTCCAGTTTCTTCCTAATATCGGGAGAGCCTTCCAGACGGTCACAGAAGCGAATCTGAAAGCGAGCGTTATTCTTCCATTATCGCGCACGGTGGCAGCAGCAACACGCCCAGAAGCTCGATGCCAATGTCGAGGTCTACTGCTTGCCACGAGAGGGCTTCCTGCAGCAGGCAGAGTTCGTGTCGTTTTGACAGTGGTTAACTATATTGTCCATAGTTTTGGTTGCATGGCCACAATCGCACGACTGTGGCTCGTCTTTTATGTATTTTTGAGTCTCCATCTCTGTCTGTGTACAGTATGGGACTATGTATCTGTGGCGAGATGTTAGCTACTTCGTCTGGTATGCAGGAGGTCGTGGGTTCTATCCCGACCCTGACGCCTGCATATTTGGAGTTTGCATGTTCTCCCTGTGGTCACGTGGATTTGTTTCCAGCTTTCCCCCCGATATTAATAATCAACATACATTTAGAGTATATGGCTGCTATAAATTTCCACAAGCCACTTCGTTGAGCTATTATTTGTGGCCAGGTTGCTTCTGAAAAAGAGCTACAGTGAGGGAAAAAAGTATTTGATCCCCTGCTGATTTTGTAGCAAAGAAATGATCAGTCTATAATTTTAATGGTAGGTTTATTTGAACAGTGAGAGACAGAATAACAACAAAATTCAGAAAAACGAATGTCAACATTTTTATAAATTGATTTGCATTTTAATGAGGGAAATAAGTATTTGACCCCCTCTCAAACAGAAAGATTTCTGGCTCCCAGGTGTCTTTTATACAGGTAACGAGCTGAGATTAGGAGCACACTCTTAAAGGGAGTGCTCCTAATCTCAGCTTGTTACCTGTATAAAAGGCACCTGTCCACAGAAGCAATCAGTTAGATTCCAAACTCTCCACCATGGCCAAGACCAAAGAGCTCTCCAAGGATGTCAGGGACAAGATTGTAGACCTACACAAGGCTGGAATGGGCTACAAGACCATTGGCAAGCAGCTTGGTGAGACGGTGACAACAGTTGGTGCGATTATTCGCAAATGGAAGAAACACAAAAGAACTGTCAATCTCCCTCGGCCTGGGGCTCCATACAAGATCTCACCTCGTGGAGTTGCAATGATCATGAGACCGGTGAGGAATCAGCCCAGAACTACACGGGAGGATCTTGTCAATGATCTCAAGGCAGCTGGGACCATAGTCATCAAGAAAATAATTGGTAACACACTACGCCGTGAAGGACTGAAATCCTGCAGCGCCCGCAAGGTCCTCCTGCTCAAGAAAGCACATATACATGCCCGTCTGAAGTTTGCCAATGAACATCTGAATGATTCAGAGGACAACTGGTTGAAAGTGTTGTGGTCAGATGAGACCAAAATGGAGCTCTTTGGCATCAACTCAACTCGCCGTGTTTGGAGGAATGCTGCCTATGACCCCAAGAACACTATCCCCACCGTCAAACATGGAGGTGGAAACATTATGCTCTGGGGGTGTTTTTCTAAGGGGACAGGACAACTTCACCGCATCAAAGAGATGATGGACGGGGCCATGTACCGTCAAATCTTGGGTGAGAACCTCCTTTGCTCAGCCAGGGCATTGAAAATGGGTCGTGGATGGGTATTCCAGCATGACAATGACCCAAAACACACGGCCAAGGCAACAAAGGAGTGGCACAGGAAGAAGCACATTAAGGTCCTGGAGTGGCCTAATCAGTCTCCAGACCTTAATCCCATAGAAAATCTGTGGAGGGACCTGAAGGTTCGAGTTGCCAAACGTCAGCCTCGAAACCTTAATGACTTGAAGATCTGCAAAGAGCAGTGGGACAAAATCCCTTCTGAGATGTGTGCAAACCTAGTGGCCAACTACAAGAAACGTCTGACCTTTGTGATTGCCAACAAGGGTTTTGCCACCAAGTACTAAGTCATGTTTTGCAGAGGGGTCAAATACTTATTTCCCTCATTAAAATGCAAATCAATTCATAACATTTTTGACATGCGTTTTTCTGGATTTTTTTTTATTCTGTCTCTCACTGTTAAAATAAACCGACCAATAAAATTATAGACTGATCATTTCTTTGTCAGTGGGCAAACGTACAAAATGAGCAGGGGATCAAATACTTTTTTCCCTCACTGTATATAGCTCAATGGGGCTTACCTGGTAAAATAAAAAGTTTAGTCGCATAGTTTAGTATCTCAATGGATCTCTTATTTGCATGTGTCCATGTTTTTATTGTTGCCCATCCCTCCGGACAAGACGTACAGGTTATGCAAACAACATACCAGGGTGTTTGATGAGGAATGCAGATAAGAGCTACTAAGGCTGCTGTGTGTTGAGACGTAGATTAAGGTTAAAAACAGAGATACGAAAGAAGACAAGGGACCCACAAGATAAATTACACATATTGTTTATTATGCTTGTTTACCCAAACATGCCTGAGTCTCATAACTCATGTTCAAGTTTGTTTGCCAGTACGGGGGAGATGATTGCTATGTATATTCCAGTGGAGTAATTTTCTGGTGATATTTCAAATTTGGACCATGACGGCCGGCACACAATGGGCCTACTCTTGCAGCCTTTGACATATTTCACTTTTATGTACACTGTCAAAGCACAACAAATTAATAACAGTTTACGGCTCTTCTGAAGTAATCCACTGTAGCCTGCACTAATTCAGCGGAGGAACAGCACAACGACACGAACTCTCTCCTGAGGCCCTCTCGTCGTGACGAGCAAACCTCATCATTGGCATCTAGCTCCTGAACATATTGCTGTTATATGCAATAAGTGAAGATCTAGAAAAACATGCCCCATTCACTGTACGACGTTTTACTCAAATCACGCAGACACTGGTTACAGAATTATCGAGTCGTTTCACCTGTTCAAATGTACTTTCGTTATTTCAGTGGCAGCAAGACGTATGTGTTACACGTCACAATGTGGCTTCAAGGTTAATGTTGCGGCCGTTGCTGCCGGGCTGTTCATCACTCGAAACGGTGGCCCATGTCCCGGAATAATGACATCAGCCAATGATGCAACTTTTGACCGACTGACCTGCATATACACACATTCACGCACAGCAAACAGGTGCTTGAAGGTTGCAAAATAGGATCACACCATAGCCAATTTCCCAAAATGCAAAGTCTGTATACGCAGGCAATGTTGTTTAGAGTTTGGCGGTGCTGGAACAATTGAAGAAAACGGGGGAGAGACCGTAACAACTTTAATTTCAGTTTTAGATTTGAAGCTTTCGTGACTGCAAGGATCCATACTCTTTGGTTCTATTCGGTAAAGTCACGTAGGTAAAAAATAAAACGACAAAAATCACGACGTTTCGGCCACAACAAAGTGGCCTTCATCAGGTGAAGGGACCAGACTGTCTCGAGGACAGCACTGGAGTGAAACACAGCCAAGCTCAGACCGCGACCTTTAAGCTGTGTGAGAGTAATTAAGGTGCCTTGACAAAGGAATTAGCATAAACATTGCATTTTAATAGGCAGACTTAGTATTATGAAAGGTAGGGAGGGGGTCGACCTGTGCAGGCTGGCGAGGAGGCACGGCAGCATCCACATGCTGGTGGTGTGAAAAGGGGATTTTAAGCTGTGAAAGTTTGGGGTACCACTACTTGAAAAATATACTGTACCATTGAAAATTTAGCTTAATGTTTGGTTCGATTTAGAACATCTTTCCAATGGTTGCTTAATTTGAAACCATCTTCTCGGTTGAAATTGTGTCTGTGTTTGTAGATCTGAATTGCCTCGTGAACAAATCTCTGATAAAAACCCGTGGGTTTGCAAAGCTGATCACTGTTACAACGCTGTGGGTGATCACGATATAATTTTCTCCGATACCAAGGTTCTTTGCAAACCCACGAGTTTTTATCAGAGATTTGTTCACGAGGCAATTCAGATCTACAAACACAGACACAATTTCAACCGAGAAGATGGTTTCAAATTAAGCAACCATTGGAAAGATGTTCTAAATCGAACCAAACATTAAACTAATTTTTCAATGGTACAGTATATTTTTCAAGTAGTGGCACCCCAAACTTTCGCAGCTTAAAATCCCCTTTTCACACCACCAGCATGTGGACGCTGCCGTGCCCCCTCGCCAGCCTGCACAGGTCGACCCCCTCCCTACCTTTCATCATGCTAAGTCCGCCTATTAAAATGCAATTTTTAATGCTAATTCCTTTGTCAAGGCACCTTAATTACTCTCATACAGCTTAAAGGTCGCGGTCTGAGCTTGGCTGTGTTTCACTCCAGCGCTGTCCTCGAGACAGTCTGATCCCTTCACCTGATGAAGGCTGCTTGTGTTGTGGCCGAAACGTCGTGATTTTTGTTGTTTTATTTTTTACCTACGTGACTTTAATTTCAGTAATAAGGTTTTTACATTTTCATTGATTTTATATTAATATTTGATTGGCAACTTTTATTGTTTGAGGTAAACAATATGGATAAAAATTCAATTATTTTTAAAAATATATATAAAAATTGTCATTCCTCATCAGTTCAAATGTTAAGAGCTTGATCGACAGTGTGTATGCATTGATAGTGTGTGTACGTTTATATACCTTATCGGATACAAATTAGATCAGCACCATTCCGTTAGTGAGCCATTTCTGTGAATACATTTAGTAACTATCGCTGCTAAATCAGTTTCAGCTGCTATTATGACATTCATAGCTATTCCATCTTCATAATTATTCCACATTTCATACTGCGAAGGTTAGTGGCTTTTTATTGTTGTTCTGCCTCTGTCAATGAATGAGCTCTCTCACACCATTATCATCAGCAGAAGGGTTTTCTCAGATGTTATTCATAAGAACACTTTGACCGTGAAGCTCTAGTCAAGACAAACTTTAATAGAGTACCATTAAGCACTGCTGAGTAGCTTCATGGGCAATTACATGTTTACCAAATGCACTTTTGTTTAGTCTAACAGCCAATGGGATATCTCATGGAAATGGTGCTGCAGCGAATTGGTTTGGACAACCCCACAAACTCATTTGTTTAATGTACAGATATTGAACAAAAGTTTAAGTGCATCCTTACCCCCAATGCTCCACGGAGACAGTGCAAGTAGTTAGTACAGTATTACAAACATAATTATACAATTAACATGTTTTAAGTTGTATTTAATGAAAGGGTTACCTGCTGTGTGACAGGATCATGGCTGTGCTCCTTCCAGTCGTCGTCATCATTACTCCGCTCAAACACGTCTCCGGCAACCACGACAGTGCCAACGCTTGTGTCGCGAACAACGACACTCACGTCCGAACATGTATGGCCTGGTGTGGGTATCACCTGAGTAGACGCACATTTGCATGCACGGATGAAATCTCCGTATCTAAACATAAGTTGACTATTTTTCATAGAAAACAATTCGAGACTATAGCAAAACCACAGTAAGTTCTGCCACAATAAGTCTTGCTACCATCCTCCGTAGCCTGTCACCATGCTCTTGTTGCAGCTCGTCTGATAGTTAGGAAACAGAAATATGATCCGATCACGAGTCTGATGCGTGATGAATTGCACTGGCTACCTATTAAATACAGGATTGTGTAAAAATTATACTGACTCGTCTTCAAGAGTTTCCATCAACCTGCTACGTCCTATCTCGCCGATAAGTGCTCACCAGCTTCAACGGACCCAAATGGACTCTGGCTATGATCTGCGGCTCGCGGCGACCTGTTGCTGTTCCCACGTGTAAACTTCGTGCGCGATACGCCCAGCACGGTTTCGGATTCTTCGGCCCAAAGACCTGGAACACGCTCCCAGCTTACGTGCGGGATCCATCCCACACGCGGGATCCATCCTCGAGTCTGAGCCAGTTCTACAACAGACTCTAAACGCTGTTGTTGTTGTTGTTTCAGAGAGCCGACTTTAAAGTGCGATCAATGTTCACTCGTGATGGACTGGACTCATAAGTGTGCAATAACAAATGTTCTTATTTACTTTATGATAAACCACTACTGTACATGCAATGTACCATGCACAATGAAGCAAAGTGCCTCCTATACATTAGATAGAATTCCTACTTAATGTTGGAACATTCTTTCGTGACTATGAAACCATTCTGCACTTAACTTTGTTCCATTTTTTCAAAGCAATATCCCATTTAAACACTGCAGCTTAATTGCTTCTGTTGTGTACCACACTTGCACGCTTTTAACCCATCACAGCAGTGGTTCTTAACCGCTTTGGTTTGGCAGCCCAGTCAAGAACACTGGCCCCTGCGCCACCCACTCGCCTAAGCCCCAAAAACACAAACAAGTTTACAAGGCACACAACACACAGAGAAACCACATGTTCACGCCTGTAGACAATGCGGTGAGAGTACAGCATTCCCTCGTTATTCACGAACTTGCTATCCGCAATTTTGGCTCTCCACAAATCACATCTGGAACTCGGCACGACTCCACAGATGGAGAAATAAAGTGGTGAGAGAGAATGTGATGGGAGAAAGTGATGAGAAAGCTTATTTATGTATTTATGGTAATTCATTAGTATCATTATCTGCGAAATATGCTATTCACGAGCATTTCCGGAACGTATTCCTCGCTAATAATGAGGGAATACTGCATGCAATTTGTTTCACGTTGCAATGTAAAACATTACCAGAAGACAGACAAGTTGAAGAGTAGTAAAAGATGACAAAGTATACCTGTACTGCTTAATAGATCAGGTTCAGTATGCGTGTTTTGCAGCAGCAACGTGGCGTTGACATTTCAAACACATTTTCAAAATGCCCCCTGCACGATATCCATGCCATAGCATGCGCTTCACACCCGAGAGGCTTTTTGTGCCTGTTGGGTTGGGAACCGCTGCTTTGCAGTCGCAGCCAATCAGGTAAAACGCATTTAACAAATCAGTCACAGGCCCAACGAGATAAAACTTTTTTTTTAAACGGGAGACGTGAAGTAAAATACACAAGAGGTAAAACGAAAGATTAAAATAACAAATCTTTGCATAAAAACGCAAACAGGTTATAAAACATAATTCATAATAAAGGTTTTTGGGTTAGATCGCGTTATTAATAATTCGCCAATTGCCCGATGATGCTGGATGTAATTACCAGCGAAACGTCGTACCCAAACTGTAAATGTTGTGGCTTCACTCTTCAACACACCGGTGGGCTAAAGTAGTGAATTATTTGTCTTTTGTCAACGTGACACTTTTTTTGCTGATTGGCCGTGTCGGGTGGTGGAGGGTTACGACACATTTATAAATAACGCGATCTAACCCAAAAACCTTTATTATGAATAATATTGGTCGCGAAAGCCTACGTGTTAAACAGGTTATAAAACGTAAATAGGTACCTGCACATATGGATTTATCACGTACGCCTTTCCCTCAGCAAGCCCATGTGTTTCATAGAGGTCTCCCTGGGACACATCAAACCCCATGATGATCCGAGCGTGAGGGAATAACCCCACGTTTCCCACGTGGTCCGAGTGCCCGTGCGTGCACACCACCGTATGCACCAGCTGCAAGACATCACTCGGCGCCAGACTCTGCTGCACACAGCCCTGCACCGTCCGCTGCAAGGAGGTGATGAGTTCCTCTTTGGCCCACGGCCCTCCAGTGTCCACCAGGATGGCACAAGGTCTATTAAACACACCACAGTTACACTTGCACTCCTGTGTGGTGAAACACCAAAAACTCATACGCACAGCTTGACCCGAGGAGCTCTAATGGATAGAGGAGCCCATACCAGTCAGGTACTCGGCGAGGGGCGAGACAAAGTGTGTTCCCTTCACCAACTCGCGCTCAAACCCCATGACTGACGCAACTAAACGTTAGCTCGGGATCAACCTGTCATGGTGTCCGCTGGGAGGGTAAAGAAGAAGGGGCTGCAAATAATCACAGGGTACAAAGAGGGCAGCAGGGTGGCATGTTGGTAACACTTGCGCCTCATATCTAGGTTCTCCAGTTTCCTATCATAGCTATGAAAAATACAATGGTACTGGTGTTGGTCAAACAACCCAATGCAGGATCATCCCTCAAAAGAGGATTTGCCTTTCCTGGGTGAGTAAGTATTGTATTACATATACAGTGAGGGAAAAAAGTATTTGATCCCCTGCTGATTTTGTGCGTTTGCCCACTGACAAAGAAAGGATCAGTCTATAATTTTAATGGTAGGTTTATTTGAACAGTGAGAGACAGAATAACAAAAAAAAATCCAGAAAAAGCATGTCAAAAATGTTATAAATTGATTTGCATTTTAATGAGGGAAATAAGTATTTGACCCCTCTGCAAAACATGACTTAGTACTTGGTGGCAAAACCCTTGTTGGCAATCACAAAGGTCAGACGTTTCTTGTAGTTGGCCACTAGGTTTGCACACATCTCAGAAGGGATTTTGGAATCTGATTGATTGATTGCTTCTGTGGACAGGTGTCTTATACAGGTAACAAGCTGAGATTAGGAGCACTCCCTTTAAGAGTGTGCTCCTAATCTCAGCTCGTTACCTGTATAAAAGACACCTGGGAGCCAGAAATCTTTCTGATTGAGAGGGGGTCAAATACTTATTTCCCTCATTAAAATGCAAATCTATTTATAACATTTTTGACATGCGTTTTTCTGGATTTTTGTTGTTATTCTGTCTCTCACTGTTCAAATAAACCTACCATTAAAATAATAGACTGATCATTTCTTTGTCAGTGGACAAACGTACAAAATCAGCAGGGGATCAAATACTTTTTTCCCTCACTGTATATTATCTGGATTGACCATTGCTACGTACAAAACGCGGACTCTGTCTAGCGTTGAAAACCTTTCCGAATTGGAGACAGAAAGGAGCTGAACAAACCCACCTTTCTGCTTCTCCCGGCACACTCAACAGGAGAGTCACAGTGCCATCTGCGTGAGTGTGACTGTCACTGTCCTTGTAGCAATATCCCTCCCTCAGCACATGCACAGAGTATGGAACACCTACACATAAAAAAATACTGCGTTGGCAACCAGCATATTGCGGTGGGTGCAAGTGGGTGTATATGTTTGGGGAACAGTAGTGTAGCGGTTAGCGCACTGCACTACGGACCTGGCGCCCCAAGTTCAATTCCCGCTCACGCCCAATGCCAATGACGATTATTTGAACCAGCTTCAGCCTAAAATGAGTACCTGGAGCGGTGTGTAAACATCACCACTGGAGAGACCAAGGTGGTGGGGCGTGGTGTTGGCCACCCACCCCCTCGTGTGCTGTGCCGGCCTTCATAGGTGCTCACTAGCAGCACTTGCCCCAACAGTCTGTTACAGGCTATACGGGGGACCTTTGTATGTTTGTAGGCTCAGGCATAGTGCTGGCCACCCACCCCCTCGTGCCATGCCAGCCTCCATAGGTGCTCGCAAACAGCAGTTGTGCCTAGAACAGTTAATGCTATATGGGGGATATTTGTCTTCATGTGGGGCAGTGGTGTAGTTAGTTACCACAGTTTTGAGGGTTAAGAAAGCCATACATAAGAGCAGAAGAGCATATAAATCCACAGACATGCGCCCAAGTTACCAACCACGACATCACCCCAAATGTGAAATAATTAAGACTGAAAAAAAACAATATATTTCTTAGCACTTTGAATTGTTTGACAATCCTTACAATGAGCACATTTCCTCAGAATAAACAGCTTTTTAATACCTTGGAAGTCCAGTAAAAAAAATATTTACAAACCAGGTATTGTTGAAAGGTTTTCCGTTTTGCTTAGTTCTGCCATACCTGTTGAAGAAAGGGAATTCTGATTCCAACAATAGCAATGGAAAACAAAGCAAATGCAGTCAGTACACACGCTATACAAACAACCATGCTGATCCAGACATTGTATTCACTTCACTATACGTGCAGCCATTTTATCCATGAAAAAAATAGCCTGAGATTCTCACTTTTTGGTGTACATTCTTCCTGTTAACCACAATATATTAAATGAAGTATTGTATTTTTTTTTTACAATTAGCCCATGTACAAGTACTGTGTCACCAGTAAGGTGGGGATTTCACACAGTGCGTGCAACACGCTCCAGCCGGCACAACATTCTTTGTTCGACGTTTAGTGAAGTTTGTGAAGCCAACTTCCATTGCTGTGGCACTGTTTCAGCGCCTCCATCATTTTAAGAACTCATGTCTTGAAAACTTATTTTTGTGTTTAGTTTGCTGTTCACCCCCACACCTCCCGATTAGCACGGTGGGAAAGGCGTTCAACATACAACATCAAGTTGCACAGGATTAGCCTTTTCTGGGCAATCCGCTATCTTCCCATCAACTTTCATTGTCAATTCGTTGTCAATTCATATTTTTTCCTGCCTCAGTAGCTCTTCTGCTATATTTTTTCACCTGATGACGATTGCTTGTGTTACGATCGAAACGTCGTGATATTTCTTTATTTTTCTATCTACGTGACTTTACCGAAAGACCCAAAGACTATTTCATTGTCAATCTTTCTCTCCAGGTCACGCGACCTCAATCTCGTTACCACCTTGCTTGACCTTGCCACTGGAACCCTGAGGAATCCACAGTGTGACTTTATTCGACTTGGGGGGGCCTTGAGGCGTTCACCGTCGTTTCGCTCCGCCGAGCGTCAACCTTCACCAGTGCCGCAGTCTCTCTGCTGGGAACTGCAAATGACAAATGCGAGTAACTGTAGTGTACTTCGCCTGGACCTATAGTCCGCAAAGTGTTGGAGTTTAGCAAAAAATACTGCGACGATACATATTCAGACCAGAAATTTCATGTCAAGTATTTATTGAGTTTATAGAAAGTGAGTCATTTTGTTTAGTTCATGGTCAACAGGCAAAACCTTGGACTGGGCTGCTCGTGGTGTCTGGTTGCTGGCTGGGACGAAGTTGTCTGCAATGTTCGGTTGCTCTGCAGAAACTAAACTATAAACTGTTTAATTTTTTTACCAGATAAGCCCATTGAGCTATCTAGCTCTTTTTCAGAAGCGACCTGGCCACAAATGATAGCAGTCAAATACTCTGAGCGTATGTTGTTTCTAAATGTGGAGGGAAAAAACCGGAGGAACCGGAGAAAAATCCACGCGACCACGGGGAGAGAGACACGCACACTTCTAATATACAGCAGCAGGCGTCGGGGTCGGCATAGAACCCACTAACCTCCTCTACACCTGGCGAGGTAATTAACATCTCGCCGCCACGATGCTCTGGCGGCTTTGACTTGTGTTATCAATCATTCCTGGACTCTCGTGGTGAAAACTTCCCACCGACTCTCACAGTCTGATGGGAGTCGTTTTTATCAGACTCCTTGACTAAAACTTCCACGGTTTACTCGGCAAAGTGTCTTGGCCGGAGTCGGGGTTCTCAGGACATCTGCAGAAGTGGGAAATTCCTTGTCCGGCCTGGCCATGTGGTTGGTAGCGCAACGTTCTTGATTTAATCCGCCTAATGATCCACAACTCGGGCAGGACGGTAGTGTTTTGGTGAACACACACACAAGGGTCGCACACACACGGGGTCTTACCTCCACGTGGAGCCCCCGACTGCCCGGCCCCGGAACATGAATGAATGTCGCCCACAGCGGCGAGATGCGACTCCAACTGAGCCGCGCTGCCTCTGGGTGCGGTGCTCGGTACCCCCAACGCGGGGTGCATAGAATCCCATAGCGCAGCGTGAAGGGCTGCTTCGCGACGTTATTTGTTAAGAACCACCGTCTCGTATTCACATTGCATGGCGGCTCTTTAATTATTGAAGGATGTTTTTGTATGACCGAATTCCAAATAAAAAAATGTCTCTTCTTGTTATTTTGGTTTCCGACCCCTGTCACAGACGATCCATATCAACATCCAAAATAAGGGGTCCCTGGAAGGTGCCAAGGGACTCTTCTGGCTGTCGCCTGATGAGGCTGGTCGTAATTACCGGCGAAACGTCATACTCGAATTGTAAATGTTGTGGGGTTTACTCTCCAACACACCGGTGTGCTGAACTAGTCATGAATTGCCATGTTTTGTTTACATGACAAACCTTACGAATTGGCTGCATAAAATACCCTCTATTATGGATCCTGTAGTCTCATTTACATTTGGGGAACTTACTTAGAGCAAAACATTCCAATGGTTTAGAAGACAGTGTTCACGAGGCAATTCAGATTTACAAACACAGACACAATTTCAACCGAGAGGATGGTTTCAAATTAAGCAACCATTGGAAAGATGTTCTGAATCAAACCAAACATTAAACTAATTTTCAATGGTACAGTATATTTTTTCAAGTAGAGGTATCCCAAACTTTCGCAGCTGCTTAAATTCCCTTTTCACACCATCAATATGTAAACTACCCCCCCTCCTCCCCTCGCCGGTCTGCACATGCTCCCCCCCTCTACATCGTTCATCATACTGAGTCCGCTAAGTAAATACTAATTTTTATGCTAATTCCTTTGTCAAGGCGCTCTGCTTCCTCTCACACAGCTTAAAGGTTCGCGGTCTGAGCTTGGCTGTGTTCACTCCAGCGCTGTCCTCTGGACAGTCTGGTCCCTTCACCTGATGAAGGCCACTTGTGTTGTGGCCGAAACGTCGTGAATTATTTATTTTTTATTTGTTGTTGTTTTTTTACGTGACTTTTACCGAATAGAACCAAAGAGTACAGTGAAACAATTCACCAACACAGACGCAACACCCCCAACTGACAATCAATGACAAGAGCTTGAGGGACAGAAGGGCAAGCGAGTTCAAGACCTGCTGCAAAGTTCAATTCCATGCCTCATCCTCCACCAGCAATCCTTGCAAGCGATCAGAGGCATGTTCAGCAGTGGTGTAGTAACGACATTATCAGCTCAGGGGGTGCGGCAATCGGTAATGTGGGGCCCAATATTTAATTTGTGTCGCAGGATCGCACCTAGAGGCGATGATATATCGCGGCTCTTGTCCAATCACGTCATAACGCTCACGGTCTCCAATATTAAACGCTGTAGGGGCACTCCATGTTCGCAAAACACTATAACTCCATAGTACCTCTTTGCTCAATTATGTTACTGCTAAATATTGACTTAAAGCTTTAGTGACTGCAGGAATTCATATTCTCGGGTCTTCCGGTAAAGTCACGTAGATAGGTTCAAAGAAAAAAACAAAAGAATAACAAAAAACTACGACGTTTCGATCGCAACAGAAGCAATCGTCATCAGGAAAAAAACGTCAAAGTTTTTTGTTATTTTTATTTTCTTTGAACCTATCTACGTGACTTTACCAAAAGACCCAAGAATATACGTTACCACTCTATATAAATTTAAATAAAACGTGGAACGGAAATGAAAGCATCGTAACAAAAGTTAATTTAATAAGGTGTTTTTAAATTCGTGTTGTTCTTTTACACTGTTGTTGAAAACATATCTCATGGTGTATGTCAAGGGGCTCCCCAACTTGTAGCTGTGACCACCAGGGAGAGCCAAGGCACCCTCTGCCCCCACTGTTGTTCCCCTGATTTTCAGCAAATGTTTCTGTCTAAATAACCGAGTTGTGCCTCAGAACTCACACACACAGCCTCAGGGAGAGTGATCGTGTAGCGGGCACCTGGCATGCGGTATATGGTGCCACGACCGCGGAGCAACTCCGCAAGCGCCGCGATTGTCCACTACCCCCTACCCTGAGCACACGCACACACGCAGCACTTGCACCCACGTAGTGTCCTGGCGGGGGATTGCCTGGCACATCGGGTTTTAATCCGAAGGGCCCCTCGAGGGAAAGTCCCACGGTTTCCCGGTGCCAGGAGATTGGCCGACTCTCACAGGACAGGTTACATTGCGATGCCCTAAAATTCGTTTGAAATAGCATTCACGGCGAGGCGCACGCGCAATTTCGCGCAGCCTTTTAGCACTAGCCTTTGTGAAACAAGCGCCTGCAGGGGTGCGCGCGTGCACACAGCCGCCTTCGTATTCGTGGTGGTGTACGTGGGCGTGTGCGGAGTAACCCTGTGCGGCGGGGAACCAGCCACTTGGCCATGTCCCTCAAAGGGGGCGCTAACGCGGAGGGGCCGATCACCCGGTCGGCGGAGGTCTGGCAGGGGCCGAACTGTGCGGTGGAGGAAGGAGTGGAGGAGGAAGTGGAGGGGGGCAAACGTTGTGCTCCACCTGCCTGGCGAGGGCGGTGGGGCGGACGTCGGCCCCACAGGTACAAGCCCACGGCTGTTGGGCGAATCGGCGTTTTGTCCACCATGACACCTCGATCGTGATCATTGTAATTGAGGTTCATATGGTTCATTTAGCATTGACAAATGATTAAGGTCATAAGATATCATCTGTGTTGAAAAATAATTATCAATGACAATGAGAGTTGCAATACTGCAGTGCTACGGAACTAACGTTATGGATGTGAAATCTGTAAGTATGGGTCTGTATCTTCTTTGGTTCTTTCGGTAAAGTCACGTAGAATGAGAATAAAATAATAAATTGATAAAATAATGAATCCTTGCAGTCACGAAAGCTTTAAATCGAAATTTATGGGTCTGTATGTCAATCTATTGGTCATTTGAGTCTCTTGTTCTCTATGTCAGTCTATGGGTTTCATTATTTTTCTATGGGTCTCTATGAAGCTGGACAATTGTAGAGACACTACAAAGCAAATATTCTTGGGTCTTTCGGTAAAGTCACGTAGATAGGTTCAAAGAAAATAACAAAAGAATAACAAAAAACTACGACGTTTTGATCGCAACACAAGCAATCGTCATCAGGAGAAAAAAGATAATTACAAAGCAGAATTTTTGCAACAGAAATGTGTTTTTATGAAGGATGTTAAACATGCCACTGACAAACGAGATGATTAACTCGTATTACGGATAGCAGTCGAGTACACAACAATGCAATTAATGAGAATACAGTAATTACAGGAAGGCAAATTTACATATCTTGGACATGTAATGAGAATACAAGTGACTGAATATATATGTGGTTTTAACTGGGGAAATTAGAGGCACCACAAGAGGCTGGGGAAGACAGCAAATTAATTTGCATGAGCAATTTGCTAAATGGTATGCAACTGGGAGTATCTAATGCAAAGTTCCAGAGTAATATATCATGGACAGAGTGAAATGGATTGAAGGCAATGATTATATATCGATGTCTTTCCGGAAGGACATGGCTCACGATAGATGACTTCGATGAGCTATCATTATTATTATTTAGCAAGGAACACCTCAAGGATTGATGTGCGCGTGCCTCATCACTACACATCCGAGTGGTAGCAATTCCAGAGTGTACCGTAGAGTACACGGTGGTCCAGATGTCTTGTGACCACCCCCCCCCCCCCCAATTTATTGAACCCTGACATTTTTGTTCCTTTGCATATTAATTTCTGGTTAAAATAAACCTTACTTAAAACACATTAAGTTTTAGAGAATTTAACGTGGGTCACAAGACATCTGGACCGCTGTGCATGTTCAGAGAAGCATCTTGCACACGGGCAGAGTTTTGAACAGGGCTTATTGAAGACACCACGAAGCACCCTTGGGCAGCGGTTCCCAACCTTTCCCAGTATGCGGGCCCCTTTTCAACCTCCGAACATTTCGCTGACCACCACACACACAAGTCATTTGAAATTGTTCATTTCCTTGGCAAGGATGTCATTTTTATTATTATGACCTGCCCCATACTGGACATCTGTGTAAAAGAGCTTCATATCTAATTGGATTCCTCCAGTGTAAATTTAAGATTCTGATTATTTTTCTTCTCCGTGGACCCCATGTAGTAGGTAGCCTCACGGGGCACCAGAGGTCCGCGGGCCACAGGTTGAGAACCGCTGCCCTAAGGAGATGTTCATGATTGCCATGTGACTCAATACTCTTCAAAACTGCCCTATCGAACAACAGTCAATTAGCGATCTTAAGGAGCATCATCGCTTCCTGACACATGCGTTGAGTTCAATAGGTAATATTCCGAATACAGATTTACTTAAATAATGATTGCAATCTCAATGTAAATATCTGTTGGAAAGCATTCAATTTATCTTAAAAAATGCGTTCAGAACCCTGTCATAAAATATACCATAGTAGATTATGTACACTTCACATAAGATTCAAGAGCAAGGTCAATCATTTACAGGAACCGATTCTCTCGTTTAATGGACGGATTAATGACTCCTGAATTTTCACTCATTTATCCGAGTCCCAGAACAAATATATAACTTGTTAAATTAAAATTTGATTTAAAGCTTTCGTGACTGCAGGGATTCATATTCTTGGTTCTTTCGGTAAAGTCACGTAGAAGGGAAACAATAAAATAATACAAATATAAAACAATACAATTCTCACGACGTTTCGACTGCAACACAAGCAATCATCATCAGGTGTGAAAACTACAGCAAGAAATTTTGAAAAAAGTGGCGTTTTTTTAATGTTGTTAAATTAAATTTAGCCCACTTTATGTTTAAGCAAATGTTGGCCTATTCAACTCATGTAAAGCCTTACAGCTTTTTCAAGCATTGCATTTGTTAGAAGTTAAATGGTAATAAATAAAATGTAGTTTTTTGAAAAGTTATATTTATGCAATTGCATTACACAACGCTGTGCAATCCGCAAACACCGAGGTGCGTATATATTAAAATGTTCGCAGCCAATTGACGATGAGTGTTTCTTCATGCCGGAGCAAACCAGAGCACCCGGAGAAAACCCACAAAATCCCATACAGATGTGACAGATGGAGATTATTTTACACTTGCTGGAAAGGGAGTTTCACAACATTTGTGTGATCCACCAACCCTTGCCGTGCTGGATTACAGGAATGCACGGCCACTGCCCGGCTCATTAGACTAGTTATTGAATAGCCAAACAAAACGAACTGACTAAATTGTCCAAGTTTAAAACCTTAAATTATGTACCGTGGTGATAAACCATAATGAAAGTACTGTATTTTGGTTGAATTTGCATTACACCTTGGAAACTTCCGACTTGTAACTCTCACTAATGCAGTACTTATGTAATTGTTTTTGGGTTTACCAATCTGTACATTGCTGCACTTTTCATGGGAGCCAAAATATATACAGTTTCCTTACTCCTGCACCCACTGGGCCCTTGGCATTCCTTAATGTGATGTGGCTCAGTGATGACCACTTATCAAGGCCACTGTTGAGTGTCTCTCAAGCTGCAAACGAATACAGCACTTAATGTCTTGAAGTCCTGTCACCCAAAAGATTGTGCACAGGTAAATCTTGCACCTATGGCTTTAACCCTCACTGATGCAGCGTTAATACATTCCATCAGCTGCAATGCATTGGTTATTGTTCTCATTCCCAATTGTCCCAGTATAATCCATAATTCTAGCTTGCACATTAATTACTTAAAATTAATTTTAGGTACATTTTAAGTAATTTTAGCAAATATGATTAATAAGTTATTAAGGCAAATGCAAATAACAACCCCCCCCACCCCCATAAATTATAATTTGATCTGAAAAGTTATTTATAAAAAAGACCTTTCCAAGCCGCTCTCACGTAAATAATTGGGAGCACAAAAACATGGTGACTACAGCTGCACAATGCGCAGAGACTTCCCCGCCAGGTAAAGTGCGGGATGCAGCGGCTTCCTGAACGGCTCTTCGAACGTGTACAGCAGGGTCATCGTGTCGGCGTTGTAGAAGGCCAGCACACCCGCCTCAAAGTTTACGTACACCCCGACCGCGTGCAAGGGCTCGGACAACGCCAGCGGTGTTTTGACGTCGTCGTGGTACACTAAATACTGTGCAGACCAGCACCACAATCCCCAGGAGATTCTGTTGCGCCCGAGCACACAGGCGGTGTCGGTTCCCTTGCGTTTGATGGCGCTGTAGGTCGCTCCCACGGCCCAATTGCAGCCGTCTCGGACGTCCACCTCCCAGTAATGACAACCTGCGGCAAAGCTCTCGGAGCTAATGACCTTGAGAATGAAACAATGGTGCAGAAACACGAGTTAATCTAACGTGTTCGTATATACATTGACAAATGCTAGCTCGTACAAATATTACGAACCAAGAACGTGCTGCGGAATTGTGCGATGAGTAAAGGTGGATCAAGTATTTTTTTGTTCCGATTTGGCTATTCATAAATTGCCAAACAAATGTTACATGGAATCGGCCATCATTTCACCAAGCAAGCCATAAAATCAGACAGCTTTTTATTTTTTGTAATTTGCTCGTTTCGTTCTGGATATCTCCTAACTTCACCACACGCCTCTCCAACTTCACCACACACACCTTGTAGGATGAGTCTTTGAGCTGCAGTGAACCAATGATTATGTCGATTAGATGTACTAATGTTTGATATGGCTGTTGTTCACAATTTCACCCAGTAAAATAACTCATCAGTTGCTTGCCCCTGGCCGGAGTGTAGCAGTCCCCATGACCACACCGCCACGCGACCCCATGACCCTGAGCTTGCCGCCATACCTCGCACAGTACAAGACCGAGGTGTTATAATAATAATACTACTTTCATGTAAGATAGCATCATTCATGCTCATAGCATCACATAACGCTGTACACTACCGTACCGTATGTGGATATACAGCACAGTAGTGTTCAACTGTAGGACACGCAGCAATGCGATTGAGTTCCCGACCTGCAGCGTTGAGTCGAACCGGTCTGGGTGGTTCGGATATCCTTGGTCCTGGCTGCACCACGTGACTGTATGCAAGTCCATAGACAACTTCAATTTTGGATGTGCCGAGTTTGGGTTCAGGGTGGGTGTTTTTCCATCTGTTAAAAGCAAATCATAAGTAAAAAAATTGTCAAACATTTAAAGAAACTGTGCCAAAACATATATATTTTAAATGGTGTATTTTTAAATAGGTGAACAGCCATCGAGGTACGCATCACCTTTTTTTAAAACACAGATCTATGTGATTGTAAAGGGCATGTAACCTGATAGACAAATGAGCAAAACCCAAATGTCAATAAAGCATGCAAAACACTAATGCAATCACACATCCTTGACAAGGTCACAATGAAGCAACATGTGCTTTATTACACGTGAACATCTATGAACATCTACTAATGCTATGCTACAACTAGAATGCGTTAACGTAGTATTTTTTAAGCGTCAATAAAAATTAACCATGCACACCGCAGACATTCTTCCTATCTTACTACTGGCTGGACTTATGACGAGTCTGACTAAACCACATATCCAAGATGTCCTACAGAATTTGGGGCCACGTGCAGGAAGAGAGAAGGCTTGGGAGAGAGGAAGGGAGAGAGAGATAGGATGACTTATTTCGAGGTCTCTATCACGAGGGTCAGGGGGGACGAGAGGAGGCTACAGGGCAGAGAGGGGGAAATAGACGACGGGACTTGAACAGGGAGACAGGCTTTGCGATCCTGCACTGAGCCTGAGCCAGCATATGATGGCAGTACAGCAAGTAGAATAATTTACATCTGTATCCATCTGTGCAGGGATTGGGTGTCGCAACCCTCGTCGCCTCCTCTCATCGCGCGTGTGGGTTTTCTCCGGTTACTCTGCTTTCCTCCTACTTATATGAACGCCCACACAGCTTCATAATGGGTGCAGACACTTTACGAGTAAAAATCACTTTGTGTGTATTTTTTTTAAGCGCTATTTTATGGATGCATCGTAAAGGGTGCATAAAACGGGGCAGCGCAACCAAGTCCCGTGACAGGTAACAAAGGACAAATTCACGACCCGGATGTTTCTGGAGGATTACGCTGCACTCGATGTCACGCAGGGCCATTTGCTTTACGGCCAGGCCTGCATAGGACATTTACAAAAATCGGTGGTTTCAACGTCACCTCTTTGTTTATGAACGGAAATCAACTGTACATAAATTCCCATTATGGACATCAGTTCCCTTTGCAGACATCACTGATATGATTACTTGTGCGAATAGTTTTAACACTGCCACAACAATATAGTGTTTAATGCAGGAAAAGGCATCTGTACAACTTACACGACAAGTAAGACCAGTTGGATTCAAACGTGGCCAGTCGCTTGTCCACGCGTTTCAGAAC